AACCCTTAACACTCCCCCCCCCCCGCCCCCAATCCCCTCCATGTCTTTGGCTACAAAAACATGTATGGTATAAACATACAAGGCCAATATAAGAAATAGGCTCAAACATTTGAGCTGTTCTTAGAATTTCTCTGCCTGGTAAAAGTTGTTTTCCTGTCAGCTGTTAACGAGATAATACAAAAAAAAGAAAAGCTTAAATTAAGTTGCAAAATTGTTGGAACATAAATTAAAAATACAGCCCTTTCTTATTAGCAAGACACCTAAGTTAACAGCAGCACAGAAAAGCACAGAAGGGTACCACGTTGAAATTTTATTTCCAGACTGTAGCACCTGTCCCAAATGGAATTATTGTGTTGTACAACTCAGCTTGACTCCATGCTGTGCTTTGTTGATGGTACAAAACAGGGCAAGAGCAATCAAACCCACCACTTTCAGCAGAGTTCCCTGATGTCAGCTTTGAACCATTAAGTCAGCATGCACGTCTGCCATTCAGATTCAGTTATGCAACAGACATTAATAATACCAATGCAATCAACATCTGATTTCTTAGATTTAACTCTTACTCATGTATATCCTCATTCAGTACAGAAAATAGAGCTAGAGAGTCTAGTGGTAGTAAGCTACATTGACCAACTTACTGACAAAAGAGAACGATGAACAAACTGACTGCACCGAGAGAGTCTGCAACTCCCTAGAACTAGTACTACCATTCCATCATTTATACATACTCTGCTTCATCTCCTAAGTTAAACCTGTTGGTACTGTATGAATACATCATTCAAATACATAATTGCCTTCGATGACTTTTATTACCTTTAGTACTTCCTGTATGTGCTCATGCAGCTCTACTTCAGTGACTCGATCGATATGCCACTTTAGTACTTTTATAAGATCCCTAGAATACCACATCAGAAAGTATTATAACACAGAAGTGGCAGAAGGGTTAACTTTGCACTTAAAATGCAAACCAATATCCGTCATATGAGAAACACTGACAAAATAGAATATACACGACTAGATTTTGCTGATCACTACAGGCCCAACATTACACTTAATTTTCAGTCTGCTGGAAACCACCTAGTAGATCTCTAACAAACAGGAAATAATACCAGCATTACATATGCAGTAGAATGATTTTGACAGGGATACGCAAGCTCAGTTAAGCCAGAAGAGTCCCTGCCAGCATGGACTATCCCTGCTGTTCATGCATCAGTTTGCAGTCTCATTAAACTGCATTGGTTTCAATGGAAGTCTAGGCAGCAAATAAATACAGAGAGTACAGCAGATGCTTATTAGTGCACTGCTCTACAAAGATAGTGAACACAGTTGCAGCTAGATGATGTTGAGGCTCCTATGTTTTTCAAAGTACTTCAAATAAAGAAATCCACTGAAGAAAAAGATTTAAAAATGAAGCCAATGTTAGAGCAAGTAACCTTTCAGGTAACTTAAAGTTGTTTTACTCTTTTTTAATGGCCTAAATCTGGGCACTCATATAAGCATTGCATTTTATTTCTAATGATACCATTTAATTTAACCTAATGATTGATTCTGCTTAGTTTACCAATAACTGTCAGTATTCAAATCAGATAGAAAAAGTACAGACTTCACCTGTATGCAAGTGCTCCTGCAAAATGACTTTCAATGTAAGTGTCCATTACTGGCTTAAAGTGGTGAAACTTGCTGTCCTGCAGCAAATTTATTATGTGAACCTAAATGTGAGAGAGAAAAAAAAAAAAAGCTTTTTTCTTTTTTACTTAATTCTTAAATAGTGTTAAGCATCATCATAAAATGAAACTTACCAAACAATCAAATACTTTCGATCCATATTTTTGAGAGTTTTCATCTAAAATCCCAAATAAAGTGTCTAGTGTATCTTGAAGAAACTAATTTGAGAGAATAAGAGACAGTTTGTTATTAAATAGGTGCTTTTTGACACACAAATGCATTACTTCCCTCATATTATCTAGAAGGATAGAATGGTATATACCTTCACTATTTCTGAACCATCAATTTCTTTTAATTTTGAGAGGCATCCTGCAATTTTGTCTGGGTGGGTTCTCCATTTCAGAAGGTCAAGCATATCTCCTGCAAAAACAAAATGCAAGATTAAAGCTGGAAGCAAAGCAGCATTTCCAATTTTAAATTCTACTGTTACAGTCCACTCAGCAAAACTTGGCTTCATTAAAACAAAACATCTCATGATTTGCTATAATATGATCTGCCCAACAACAAATTTTCATTCCATCCCATAATTGCTCCACCAACAGAAATAACAGAATATAATACTGGGTCACTAAAATCAGTCTCCTGTGGCAAATATATCATGCAATCTTGTTCAAATATTTGTCAACTACCATCTTAAGAAAAGGAATTATTCTGCCGTCTCTTGTCCCATTGAAGGATGTCTTCCAGAGCTGTCATCTGACAGCTAGAAATAGTCTCCTAACTACTAGTTTGTATGTATTTAAAATACTCATCTTCCTACGTCTTTTTAGAGAACAAACAATGCCTCTAAGATCTTGCTTTATTAATAAGCAGCACAACCTCTTCTGGAAAATAAACTCCTCTGAGCTAAAAAAATACCTGAGTGTCTTCATACTTCCTCCAGTTTTAATTCATTCTCCTTCAGCTTTCTTGACCAAAATGGTAACTACATTACAGATGAGATTACATCACTGTTTTCTATATCATTAGCAAGCTCATATGTCTGCTGTTAACACCTGATATATGTTCTAGAATTTGGGATTTTTTTTTACATGCATCATATTGGTGACACCAATAGATCTTTCTCCTGTTTAATACTGTTCAGCTCCCTGACTACAGCAGAACCTCCAAGAATTTCCACTAGGGTATGATCCTGCCTTTTGTACCATTAAATTTGATCTAATTTCTACTCTTTGTTATTAATTATTTAAATCAAAGTTACCTTGTGTTACCTGTATCAGATTTTGATTTTTCCCTCTCAATTGATGAGCCTTTTCAACTACATATTAGCAGTAAATTTCATTAACAGGTTCTCTAGTGTCTCAGGTTTTAGTGAAGCAACTTCTATCCCCACCCTTTTCCACCCCTCCAAACAAGAGACCAATCCCAGGCCTAATTCTTCAGATCTAGTAATATTTTCCTTCCACTCAGGAAGGAAATTCCTTCCATTACAGTGCAACCTGCTAGTTCCCTTTTAGCCCTTATTTACCAGTTTTAAAATTCTTTCTCTATCTTTTCTAATTTCCCATGCGGTATGTTATTGAAGTCCAGATGGTTTAGATCTACTACGTTTCCTCTGAAGAATAATAATGATTAAAAAAAACCTTTGAAAAGAAAGATTAAGAAGTTTATTCTGGCATGATACGTCTTTGATAAACTCATCTTACAGCACATTCCATTTAGCTACATGTCCATTTTTTCATCCATGATTTCTTGTAAATACTTGAATGAAATTCATCGGAGGGTGATGGCCCAGTTAACATATCTACTCTTTCACCTGTCTTAAATGTAGGTACTATATTCGTTACTCTTGGGTCATGTGTTATTGCCTTCAGCTTCAGATACGTACTAAAAAAAACCTCCTCCCTATGAGACTGGGAATTTCATGTCCCATACCATTCAATATCCTAAAACAGAGTTTTGCAAACTTGGCTTCATTTTTCAGCAGTTTTCACTTGATCCTGACCCTTGCTGAACTCTGACACATTGTTGTTATTTTTCTCCCTTCTGTTGCAGGTTCTCTACTTACTCCTCACATTTTCTGCCCGTGACACACTCACTCATGTATGCAGCGCTCCTTTCAAGTTGTATTCAGAGCACAAAGTTCCACTTATTTTTGAACCAATGAATTAAAGAAATCCCCAAGCTCCTTTACATTCACATTTACTACTTCCACATTTCACTAACCAGCTTTTCAGAATTTCTCAAAGCCTGGCCGTTTGAAGCAGAAAACCTTAATTAACCACCATCCAATCCTTCCATCAGTTTAAGATGAACCACTGGTCTAGTCGAGAACTGTCCAGCAATGTATTAGAAGGATCCAGTTCTTCTGAAATGTTCTCAGTACTTATCAAACTAAGTAGCTAATAGCAAGTGTTCCTCCTGGTTCAGCAACTATTTGGGTGCTTTCTACCACAGACTCTTTTCACACTCAAGTAACATTTGTGTTATTTCTTTCCCAGTTTGCTCCAGGAAAGCTCCTCTCTCCCACAACAAGAAATTGAGTACTATTTCTGTCTTCAATAACATGAAATAAATCTCCATCTATATACAAATCTGCCAGAGGTGCTAATGGCAAACACCCTGCATGCTATTCCACTAATATTTTCCTGCCTTAATTGATGTTGGTGGGCACAAATTGTTTTTATGCATTTATACATTTCTTTTTTGCTTTGCTTCACCCTGTGCTAGTATGGAATGTTTTGGATTAAAAGAGATCCTTGAGTTGCACTAAGAGTGCTGAAGGGTCGCACACGTGCATCAGAGACACATCCCAAAGATCAAGGACAAATGATATGTCTTATTATTCCTTTTGCTAGGAATTTTCAAGAAACAAGCATTACAAATCCAGTGAACTGCATTTGTCTTTTGGATAATTAAATGGATTTCTGCACTTTATTCTGTTTAAGCCTTAACTTAAGTTGAGGAGCAGTGAGACTAGCTAAAGCTGTCAGTTCATAGCAGGAAAAATATTTCTTTACAGGTTTGCTGGAGGAACTTGGTGGGAAGATAGCCGACACTCAGTATTCGGGATTTGTTGGGGGATTAAAAAAGAAAGAGAAAGTAAGTGTCAGACACTCACTTCAAAGCACTTATTTCAAGGAAAATGCTAAGGAGGCAAGACATTGCTGAGATAACATTAGCAAATAGCCCAAGCATAAGTGACATGAATAGAAAATCTGACATGTGAATCACAAGGGAAAGGGATAGCAATGTGTCATGTATTAAGACAAATGAGAATATAAAATTGTCCTCCAAAATAGGCCCACTAGGAAAACATACTTTTGGAAAAGGAAAAAAGTCAATGCTGCTGATAAATTTGCTGAAGAAAAACATTTCCAATGCCTTCTCTTATTCATGATCAGATTTGTACATTAAAAATAGGCTACACTTGACCTACCATTCCTACCAAACAAAGCACTTCCCTTCTCAAAGTCCGTAATTTAAATCCAAAGCGCTAGGTTTAAGAAAAGGTTTAGAATCATGTGTAAAAAGGAAGTGGTTTGGGATGATCCTTCCATCTCTCCTATAAATCCTGAGACATCAGAAATTGGCCTGGTGTAGCACTATTGCACTTCAAAAGGAAAAAGCCGAATTCCAGAACTGACGGTCTACATTCTTCTTCCAACAGGCTGCTTCTGTGGTTTCCAACACTCCCTTCTAAACTGGGGTCACTCAGGAAAGCTGCCTCATTACTTTTGTTTTATTAATCACCAGTTTGGCTTTTTTTAAATGCAAAAGAGAAATTACACCTCTGCCTTGCAATAGACATGCTATATGGCATGTTGCTCTGCTGATGAACAGCTGCTTACTGGGAATGTGCCGATCAGTGCTGAGGAACGAGTGGATGCCAACTTGCTAAAATATTCTGACTTGCTGGATGGATCCTGAGTCTCTAGCAGGCAGAGATCCCTCCTATATGTCAAAAACTAAGTAAGACTGTATTGATAATTACTCAGTAGAAAAATACTGTGTTCTCTCTTGCTTTTTTTTTTTAGGATAATGAAATATAATTACCCAGCTAAGAATATAATATATAAAAGCTGGTATACTTTTTTGCTATCATTAACTGATTAACTATACAGGATCAAAAGTCAACCTAAGGAAAAGCTAATTGGCAGACAGATTAGATAAGGACGTATTCTTATGAGATACGTTGATGAATGCACAGACTCCCCTGGTTAGAAGGTCTCTGAAAATTCGTTGGAAATAATCCTAAAAACCCCTCCAAATTACCCAGGGTAAGGAAGTTATGGATCCCAACAACTGGGAGACAGCCTCCTTCCCCCAGTCCCCATAATTTTAATATGCATGAGAGCTGATGGCATGTGGGAACAATCAATGAGAGAATGACAGCTGAGTAAAATTTCTCAGCAAGCTAGTAAAGCTGTGGCCTAATTCAGTCACACCCTTTACAAGTCTGGGTTTGGGGTCCTCCCGCACCCCATGGCCAGACCAATAGCAGAATTTTCAATGCATTTCCAGGCTGGACATTGTTGTTTGTAGACACAGACAGATCTCGGAGAACTTCAGAAAAATCTCCAAAATTAAAAACAGATTAAAAAATAATCAGCAATTTCCAAAAATACTAATACAAATGTTTACTAAAAAAGTAAATACACAGATCTTTTTACTCCTGTATTTTTTAATAAATATGCTACATTCTCTCAGGGATAACTGAAATAATGCTCACATGACCAAATATCCACATGCTTTGCTCTATGTTCATTTTCTGAGCATGCAATAGGTTTTGGCAAATTTTTGTTTAAAAGAATGGGGATTTGGAAACTCACCAAGATGAACTTCCCAAAGAAGATCCTTGGAGAAAATATGAGCCTGTCTATTGAAAATATTTCCACCCTCTGAAGTACTGCTGAAATAATTGTTAACTCTTTCAGAGCTGAAAAGGGGATCAATATTATTCAGATATTCTACACCCTCTTACTCAGAATATGGTTAAAAAAAAGGAAATTTTATGCCCTATGTCACACATCTATTTACATTAAGTACAAAATAACTCCTGTACTGTGAACATAAATTAGTATTATAACCCCAGACAATAGCACAACTATTTATCAGTTAACTATTTATCACTTAAGATCTGGGCATCACTTTCATGCATGTGTAAGTACCAGTAGATTCATGTGATTTCCTAAATCAAGGCCTTTAACTGAAGTAAATTTAGACTCTGATTGCCTATTAGCAACCTTTGGGAAAATCTTTTATTGGCTAACTTTTATTACCTTGAAGCTAATTGCTATGAGAATACAGAATGGATGTGCACAGTGAAACAGACCACTTACTATTTGCACATAGTTCTATTTTGGACACTTGCTACTGAACAGTGAAAATCAATGCTACTGAATTTAAAAAGCTGCTCTAGTTGTTAAACACCTATAATCAATTTGAAAGCAATTAGCAATTTTATCATCATACATATAACAAAGGTAAAGACAGTCATTCACACACAATAGAGACATCTTAAAACTGTGATAAACAGCTCAGAAAAAATAGTATAAAACTGTGGGGATATCAAAGAATGGTTCAGAAACACATTGCCAAGCAAATACACAATATTTAGAAATTTGTGGAAAACTGTTTCAGTTACAAACTGTAGTTAATATAGCAAATAAACAAAAATCTTAAGAATTTTATACAGAGCAATAGTAAAGAGCGCAAACACATGTATTTCTATCTGCTGCTCCATATATCCAGTGTATTGGAATAAGTAGTAGTAAGTGTTTGTTGGCTTTAAGGAAGAGAAGTGATACAACAAAAAAACAGTATGTGCCTAATTGAAACCAAACTGCCACAGCCTAAAGCCTACAGTAAGTATTTCATAAAAACTCTACAACAAACAGATTAAGAGGTTTTGTAAAGCAGCTGGGTTTTGATAGTTGATTCCAAGAGTGCCGCATTTGATTCCAATATCATGTTAATCTAAAAAGCATTCTTGAACTACTTAAAATCAGTGGTTTATCATGCTGCATTGGTTTCCATCTGGATATAAAAAATTATGAAGAAAACCAGTTTGTAAAATGGATAGAACATAAGCTATTTTTGAGTACATCCATGCTTGCTTGGCACAGTAAAGGCTAGCTATCACATTTGAATTCATCATGTTTTAAATAATCAACATATCCTACCATTTTGTGTGAGTTTAGTGGAGCAGAGAAAGGATGTAATCCAGAAGGACTCTTTAGTGGTTTTTACTGCTTGGCTGTTGTTTCCTAGGAAAATTCCCTTTGAAAAGGGGAGTTTGAGGTAGCGACCAGAATCCTGAAGGTTTGTGTTTTCTTCACACTGTGAAAACAAACCAGTTAAAATAACCGTACTGCATAAAACCAAAGGACCAAATCCCTAAATTATATAAATTATTATTGTTTCTCTGCCAGAAATAGAAGAATTTTCACTATGCCTGTTGCAACTTTGGTTTTGGATCGTAGACTTCAATGTCAGATATGAAGCTAACAAATTTGCACAGGATATGTCAGATGAATAGCTACAAATTTGGGTATTAAAATGTAAAATTTATCTGGGAGTATATCAAATCCTCTGAACAAAGAGATAGTTGTTAAATGTGAAAACAAAAATTCCACAAAACTGAAATATCTCTAAAAATTATAGCATTGAGTAGATCTGCATAAATGAGCTTGCTTGATTTTCCAACTTCAGCAATTCAGTAAGAGGGTATCATGGGGTTCACTTTACATGTTATAAATACAATGTAATACAATAGCAAGACTTAGTAAAACCTGTGCACTAAAACACATACCTAGATTCAAATGCAGTTTGTAACAGGAAGCTTAATATTAAACAATCAGCGATGGATATTTTAATGGTGACAAGATTATCACTCATTTAGTAATGAATACAGACTTTCTCAACCTAATGTTTCTGGGCATTTAAAGTATGTTCCAGAGGAATCATTGCAGCTACTGATTACTAATTCAAATTACCTTGTGTACAATGAGTTCATGGGTGCCATCTGGCAGAGTCCTCCCATTTTCCTGCATCAGGGGCACGAAAGAAAAGCCAAACAACTTCTTCTCACCCTTTTCTTTTGCTGAAATACATATGTAAATAGCAGCACTTAAAGTTATTATTACATATTTAGACAAAATAAATAGATATAATACAATGTAAGAAAGTATACCGGAAGCTATTTGCAGCTAGTCAGACTAAGATTATCTTAAATTTCTTTTCTGATTTGCACGTTAATCTCCTGTAATGGTTTCTTTTATCTCACTGTAAATCAGAAAACAGTATTCTGGCATGATTGGGTATTTATTAACAACAAATAACAGAAGCCACCAAATATCTAGTCTTAGCAATATATAGAATGCCAGGAAACCCAGATGAATGTTACCTAGCCAGTCCAACATGAAGAGAAAAGGGTTTTTTTTCTGACAGTTATCCCCTGTAGTAGCTTCTACCTACTGGTCTCCATTTTTAGCCTCAGGCTACACTGCACTTCTATTTTCAAATAAGGCATCTGCCTCTATAGATACGATTGAAGATGTCACTGTTCCTTACATGAATGTTAGACAGCAGATAACATTTTCAAACTTGGATGCCTAAGCTCAAATTCCAAAACTCATCACCTAAACATAAAGCAGACTACAAAACACTGAGACGGCACAGATTTTACTGAAGCCAATGAGTGCAGACACTGAACACTTTTGAAAATCAACCAATTTTTCATCAAATGTGTATATATGACAGTTTAGTACAGTTTAGCACAGAGGTGGTGTAGGCAACCATAACAAAAATATCAAAGATTGTGGGGAAAAAAAGTATCATCAGTTTGAAACATACCACTTTATTACTTCACAGCTTATAAAAGAAATATTAAAAAGAAATCAATGCAAATTTCTTCCTATATTACCTGTTCCTTACATTTTTAAGTTTATGTACCCGAAATCTAAATACACTGTAACTTCCAGTATGTGGCACTTTCCACAAAGGCAATCCAAATAATCAAATCTTGCTATATCTACACTACCAAAAAGAGCCAAACAACAGCGGCAGTTTAAAAGGCATACAATTTTATCCACCTTTCTCGACAAGCTTGACAGCAGTCAGCACCATAGCTATGAAACCTGTCTCACATACCTTGCTATGCAGAACATACACCCAGACCTCAATTCTTACCTCAAAATCATCTCTAAAATTGTTCAGAATGTTTAGAGAATTTTGAAATTTTATTTTATAAAAACCAAAAAAAGGCAATACAAAAGCGACGTTAATTGACCCCGATGTATCTACATACGCTTCCCACTGGTTGGATTGCTAAACATGTACTAAGGAACAGGTATAATTTTAGATAATTCACCAGGTAAATTCTAAATTTGCATTTTGAGTTTACCTGAAATTCTGTTTACATTTGCAGCTGCAATGTTGCCTATTTCTATTTAATAAAACTAGACTGGTTTCTCCTGGTATTTAGGCTTTACCAAAGCACTGAGTTCCACCAAGTAAAGCTGCAAGCCTGAGAAACTGCGTCATGAAACTGTTAGAGAAAGTTCATGCAGCTGCCTTCTTCCTGAGATATTACAGAAACTCATGTGCTGACTGTAGCTGTAAAGGAGAAGACGAGCAGAAGTCGTGAACAGCACTTACTGGAACAGTGCCGGAATTCACAGCGGATGTGTGCTCCTCTGAATTTATCCACAGGAATAGGAAGTTTCAGCAGCTCAGCCCATCTGGGACCATTGTTATGGTAAAGCACAAAGGAATGGTACTCGCTGGCTGGTGGCTCTCCAGAGCCGAACGAGATAAAATCCTAATGAAGAAAAAGTATTGATCAGAGGTTAAAGGCAGATTAGTTCACTGGTAAGATGTCATCAAGGACTGTTCTTACAAGGAAGACTATTTAATATTTACATTCATCTCATAAATGCCACATGTGGTATAATGCTTAATATCTTTAAACCCACAAAACCAGTAGCACTTCGTTAATATTCGCTGCTTAGAAAAAGTGGCAAGAATCATCCACACTGGTGAGAATCGAAGTATTATATAGGGGGAACTGGGTGATTAGGAAGGCTTAAGCAACAAATGCGATGTGAAGTCCCATGACACAGCATGATGCATCCAGTGTTATGCCCAAGCAACAAACAAGAATTTAACTGAGACAAGAACAGCCCAGGAGTAAGATCTTTGGTCCTCTGAAATAAGCCTGTAACCCTGCTGTTAGCAGTGACACGTCCCAGCAGGAAAAAAGAAAGAAATCTGGATTCCCTGATTAAGAAGCAGCAAAATGTTTGTTGCCTTTGCAACACCCATCATAGTGTCTCCATAGCAAAGTAGGCAAATGGATTTGTGTAAGTCCTGACTTGGTGATACCTATTAATTCTCTGTGGGAAAGGTAACCTGTAGCTTTTCTCCTCAGCAATTATAAGGGATCACCTTTGCATCTCAATATCCTTTATTTTTTATGGGTATTTATATATATAGAAAGGATATATATACACACATGCATATGTATATATATTTTTATATATACAAAAACATACATACATTGCATGCCATGCATTTATACGCACAATCCCACTTCACATATACACACACACAATTTGCACCAGACTATTTGCGTCAGCCTCTCTTTATTTTGTCACCCCACAGCCCTCAATATAATGCAGAACATGTGAAAAAAGTACTTTCAAATAAAAGGGAAAAAAAGACACTAAATATGTATGGAAAAGGTTGAAGGCGAACAGAAATCTTCTGGTACAGAAAAAAATCTCAGACACTATTAATAATTAAAAAATTAAAAATAAAACAGTGCCTGTTTGTTATCTATCACCAGCAGCATTCAATCAAATCTGAAGAAAAGAAAGAGCATTAATTTATTCTTTTATTAATACATGGTGGTGATTTTTGGATCAAGGATCTCCGATTTATTAAAATCGGACAAAAAAAACTCGAAAATGATCAAAACATGTTCTGTGTAACATGAGGAAATGCATACCTTCTAAGAAGAATTATTCTGAAATAAATAATTCTCCAAAACTTGATCTTGCTTCAACATTTTCCAGCATCTTAATGGAATCATTAGTTATTTGGTTGGCAATTATAGGTGTTTATCCAAATCATGTAATTGATCAAGGAAGTAAAACAAATGTGCATTTTTTAAAGGTTTTAAGTAAAGTTGAAATACTTTGAATATCTAAAGACAGTAAAAGATAAACACAACCCTTCCAAAACAATTTTGTACTCTTCAAATAATGACACAGATGATTTATATCTGAAAAAGTATACATAAAATTAACTACAGCAAGGAAAAACATACAACAAAGATACCTTTAAAATTTGACCACTGCTGTCCACGACATGCATTGTCACTTCCACATTTCTGGCCACGCTTTTCCCTCCTTTCTCAAATTCTCCTCTTTCTACAGTGATATATAAGTCATTCCTCATTTCCCCTATAAAAAAACCAAACACAAAGTGTGCAAAAGTCAGTTCAACTTGCTTCCTTTTTGCTCTTAGTACTTTAGGAGACTTCCATCTTCTCTTCCAAACAAAGGATAGTATCACACCCACAATTTATCAGTATTTTTGGATTTTAAATAATAACAATTGTTTTCATAAACCAAGAAAACCAACAAAGCTTCAGCCTTCTAAAAGCCCAAGAAGTTATCTACCATACTAAACCGTGTCCCAGGGTTTTTTTACTTATCTGTTAGCTCTTCTTGGTCTTTACAGTAGCATCTCCAGCTATACCGAAGCTGGTGTCTAGCTTCACCTCATTTAATTCCTCTTTTAATCTAAGGCAATATTAAGGTTTTTTTTTCATTTGTAATCTTTACAATTCTCTGTTTAATGTCTCCTTTAAGAACCGATTACAACTTTTCTACACTTAATCTCAAAAGAAAGGATATTACTTTGAAGAAGCAAAAAACAAGAGGTTGGTGTTCTTTCCATTAAAGGGCAGGCTTCCCAGATTGCTAGCATTTGAATCTGTCTTTCTGATCTAAAAGTTCTCAACATATTTTACCCTGACAGGGTGTTCCAAAGTTTCCTAGCAAAAAGTTACTCTTGGTTAGCTTATTTTTTTCTTGTTGGAAAGGCTTCAGAGAAATTAAAATCTTCATCAACACATTCAAACTACAAATCCAAGACAGACACTACCTGAGTGTTACATAGTATGTACAAGTTATTAAAAACTGCTAGCACATTTAAATTTAAATTCTTTGCACATTCTTATGTTAGCATGCTAAGTATTCTGTCAGACTGTGACCAGATCTTCTGGATGAGATCAATGGTAATTTTATTTTAGTTTCAACTGACACAAACCACAAAGTTTATAGTTGATGAAAGGAATAAAGATTGTTTGGCGGTTGGGGGGGGGCAGACAGGCAGGGAAAAGCAGTAAGGGTGGTGACTGGAGTGGCATGGTAGGGAAGCCCCTGTTCTGTTTGAAAATGCTAAATCTATTTCTAAAAAGTGTAAACTCATCTAGCCCTGGACAAACATTACTAGAACTACTTGGAAGCAATTGGACTTTCCTTTTGAAACACTAAAAAATGAAGGACAAACAGCATCATAATTAGGAGCATCTTCTAAAATTCTAATTTCTAGATTTGGTAGAAAAAGAAATTGAGAATATATGCTTTAATCTAGTGAAATGCAAGTTTAGCATAATGGGAATATCCTCTTTTAATAAAGCAGATTTTCACTGAGCACTGGTGAAAAGAAGTCAAGTATGACAATTTTGTGTATTTATAGGTGTACCACTTAGAAGTCAAACATGAGATGGATACTTGTACCGTGGGTAAACCTAAAAGATATGTAACTGTTAAATAATTAGTGCATCTTTAATTTCTGGCTTCATTTTAATATGCAAACAGAATTTGGCCTACTTGCACTTTCTAGGATACTCTCATGTTTCACATTTCTTGCATTTATTTTACTGCATGCAACTCTCCAGTGATTTTTAAGTACCAAAGCAATGATCTTGCTACAGTCTTCTAATATTTTTATAACATTATTCCATCACTGTATGTAAAATAATTAAATGATTCCTCCAAAGCACAATCTAAACCATTGCCACAGGAAAAAAAAATAGTAAAAGAGGAAACTGCTATGTTATCAAGCCCTCAAGAACCATGCCCATAAAAAAAAGGGCAAAAATCTACTATTGTATTACCTTATTATTAATTACCTTCTGAAACAACTGTGGACAGAGGCTAGAGTACAGCTAGACAGAATGAACAGAAACAAATACCAGGACCAGATGGTATTCACTTAAGAGTTTTGTGTGAAGTCAAGGATGAAAGAGCTGAATTACTAATAAGTGTGTGCAATCATTGAATCATCTCTGGTTCTCGGTGGGAGTCAGGCTCAAAATAAGCAAAGGGTGGTGGTTATTCAGGTAATGGACAGCAAGGTTTGTAAAAATACTAACACAAAAGCAACCCCAAAACAAAACAAACCAAAACCTTTCTGAAGGATGTTATGAATGAGAGAAATGTAAAAGGTTCAACAGAAGAATGGAGAAGTTGTGGAAGGAAGATCCATTAAAGTATATGAAACAGACGATCACAAGCAGCTCAGGGAATCCCTTGAGCTGAACATAGCTGGAGGCTGGGAGAGCATCAGGGGGTAATTACCATTCATGCATCTATGCATGCTCAGTTCTTACTCTTCCTTAGTTGTCTGTTTACAACACTCAGCTAGACAAGCCCTTGATGTGAATCAGTGAAACTGTTCATATGTTTATTCAGGTCATAAAATTACCCTTAAAACTACTAGATTCTGATTATTTCCACATCGCAGTAATATTTTATCTTACAAGTTTTAGAAGCTAGTATGTTATGCTCACCTAAGAGCATACAATATGTTGAGTCCTTGCTTAGCATACACTTACACTAGGATCGGTTCTAGTAAGTGCTGGTAGTTGGTTGCTTTCAAGAGTCTTACAGTCAGAAAAATGACAACACAAAATAATGAAAAAGAGAAGCTTTGTTATATAACTGATTTTAACACACAACTTGTAGTTGCAGCAATTTCTCTTTAAAGATTAACCTGAATACTACATGCATTTGTGCTAGCTTCAGTCATTTTTATTTATCAGCAAAAAATGATTTCAGTTTTCCATGGGGTCTTCACAAAAACATAACCAAATAACCACTTCCACCACAAATTTCATGACCTAGCCCAGACGAAACTCAGTGAAAACCATATTTTTTTCCTTTTTAAATAGAGTAAATTGTACAGGATTTAAATGAAAGTGACACTGGAACAGGTTGCCCAGAGAAGTTGTGGATGCCCTGTCAATGGAAGTGTTCAAGGTCAGGTTGGATGTGGCTTTGAGCAACCTGGTCTAGTGAAAGGTGTCCTTGTCTATGGGGGAGGCGGGGATGATTGATCTTTAAAAATGTTATTTAAAGGTACCTTCCAACCCAAACCATTCTATGATTCTATGCAAAAATAGGAAAGCATTTCTTGAAAAAGTAATTAGAGCTTCACCAAAGTTAAGCAGGCTTTCAAAAACGGTGTCTGCCTTTTAAGGTTTTTAAAAACATCCAAACCCATTGAGTTTCACCTCAATAAAGACAGTAAAATCAATAAAGAAATCAATCAATAAAGAAATAAAATCATTGAGAAAAAAAGACACAGGAGTAGGATGTACTTTCACAGATATTGTCCTGTTGTCCTCTTACAGAACCTTGGCGGGGTTTGTAATCAGTGTCATGAGAGGATAGTTCAGATGAATTTTGTCCTGATCTACATCCAATTCAGGTAGCTCTACTCTGTTTTCAATGTCTCAGAGCAAATCAAGACACATGGGTCATGTTATTGAAAGCAAATGCCAGATTTTCTCCATTATCATGCAAGGCAAATTAAATCCAAGAGAAGAGTATGAGAAATAACGATGTTTTATATGGAAATGGATAGAAAAGCAAAAGGGAGATAACCGAAATAGACTGGAAAATTAATCAAAAAGAATGTAAACTATGGGCTATATATCAAGGGTACAATCTGCATCAGGTAGATGTAACAGCAGCTTCCTTTTCTCAAAAGTATGTAGCATATCTGACATTTTATAATCTTTACAAAAATGTAGGTTTTCATTTAAATTTGGGCTTGTGTCTGGATTTGTACTCACACGTCTTTCACTTTTAGTTTACAAAAGATCACTACTTGTAACCAAAATGGAAGAAAACCAACTATATTGAACTTGCACAGTTCAGATAAGTGTACTGGAACGTTAAGAACTTAAAGGCAGGCTCCTGACAAATCTTTGGCACAATATTTGTATGAACATATTAGGAACAAAAGCTCATAAGATCCAAAAGTCAATGGAATTGTAAAAATCAAGCATAAAGCCTTATCAGAAAATAGCTGACTAAAAAAGAAAATGGATTTGGAAAGTAAATTTCACTCTGGAAAGGAAAAAGGAAAGAAAATTGTAATAAAAACTTAGACAAATATATTTGGATCCAAATTTAAAAAAATTATTTCACCCTCAATATATTGCTCTGGAGCTATCTTAATCACTTTTACTTCCCCAACGTAGAAATACCATTGCGTCAATCTTCCTTAACAGAAATTCTCTCTCCAAAAACTGAGATTGTCTGTGTAAAACCAAGTTAGGGCATTCTTTTGTGATCCCTCTTCCAGTAAAAACAACTCCAACTTCCTCTATAAAGTATTCAAACATCAGCAAATTGTTGAATTTATCTATATTCCTTTAACTGATCTTTTTAATTTATAGCAACTGCAATTACACAATTGATTACAAAAACATACATCATTTTTCTGTGGGATCTTTGCCTTAACCAGTATACCAGACAGACAATTCGGACAGATTAAATCATCTTATTTTCACTAAGAGGGGCAATTGCTGAATATCTGAGTTCTGAGGTAGACTTTGGTGAGTACAAACAGTTTCTCAGCTGAAGTATCTATATGACTCAAATCTCTCCTAGGTGTATATGCACTGAGATTTTTTTCACAGTCTAATACTTGACCAAAGCAAGGAATTTATGCAGAAACAAGAGAGGTACATCTTATATAGCACAGTACATCAGATTTTAATTACTGGTCAAAAACATAGGATTGAATCTCAATCAGATATGAAACTTGAAACACGATGAAAAAAGCAACAGACTTATTCCAGGTTATATCCATGTTGAGAAATACAAAGTCTTCTTCTCTAGATCTGTTTCAGTGAAAACATCCAATCATTATTTTCAGCATGAAGTTTGGTACAGGAATAAGCAACTGAAAACAGTATCAAAAATCACGCTCAACTTTGAGGTGAGAAACCTACCTCTACCTATAATGAAGTTGTGTGGTATGAAAGATCTAGATCATTTGAAAGCATTTATTTCAAAAGAAAGGGCAGCTCATTTTTGCCTGTTCTTATGGAGCATGTCCATCCCCCAACTCCTGTTGTGACAGTTTCTTTAAGCTTTCT